TTCGGAGATGAGCTGTAAGTCGTGCACTAGCTACAAATGCCTTATTGCACACGACACACTCGAACGGCTTCTCGCCCGTGTGGGTTCGGAGATGAATTTTAAGTTTTCCCTTTTCTCCGAATTTCTTCTTGCACACAGAGCATTCAAATTCATCATGCCGTTTTCCCGGATGAACGCGAAGGTGAGAACGCAGACCGCTAGAATGCGCAAACTTCTTGTCGCAGAACGCACACTCATAAGGCTTCTCACCCGCGTGGCTGCGGAGGTGTAACTTGAGATTTCCACTCGTGGTGCACCTGAAGTCGCAGAGCGTACACTCAAAGGCCTTTTCACCGGTGTGGGTAAGGCGGTGTGCGCGCAGATGACAACTGGCTGAAAACTTCTTGTTGCACAAGTCACACTCGAATGGTCTCTGCCCTGTGTGGATACGATTGTGCGTTTTCAGACTGCTAAGTACCGAGAATTTCTTGTCGCACAATGTACACGCATAAGGCTTCTCTCCAGTGTGAGAACGTCCATGTACTCGGAGATGTGATCCAGTTAAAAAACTCTTGCTGCAGATATCACATTGAAACGGCTTTTCTCCCGTGTGTGTTCGAAGATGAACCCGCAAATTCGCACTGTTACTATGTTTTTTGTTGCACACAGAGCACGCATAGGTCTCATCTACAGTGTGGGTTCTGAGGTGTTTGCTCAGGTTTCCACTATCCCTGAATTTCTTGTCGCAGACCGTACACCCGAAGGGCCTCTCCCCGGTGTGGGTGCGGAGGTGTACCTTGAGACTTCCACTCGTGGCGCTCCTGTAGTCGCACACGTTACACCCGTAAGGCTTCTCTCCGGTGTGGGTCCGGCTGTGGATGACCAGGGCACTTTTATCTGAAAATCTCTTGCAGCACACGGTACATTCATAGGGTTTTTCTCCTGTGTGAATGCGAACATGTATTTCCAGATGACCGCTTTGCGAAAATTTCTTACTACACACAGTGCACTCGAATGGCTTTTCTCCCGTGTGGGTTCTCATGTGGATGGCGAGATTTCTCCGCTCCGCTTTCTTGCCGCAAACATCGCATGGCGTCAGCATGGTGATATCGATCAGAAATATCTGTAAAGGAAACCATTTTAAAATATTATTTTTTTTACTTTATCGACATATATGAGCTCATTTTTACGGCAGGAACGTGTCCTAGAATGACTTGGGTAGGAAATGTAGAGAGTTCCTCGGAAACGTCCTCAATCGTCCACACATGCACTGTGAACGCCAACGTACGTACATCCCCAGATTCAATCTCAATACTAAGTTGTTCTACAGGGTGGTCCACAGACCCCTCCCTTTCCTTTTTGCTTGTACTGTATCGCATGCGGTCGCGCGGGCGTATTGCATACTCACACGGGGCCCCAAGGCGCCACAGTGAGCGACGGTAGGCAAGCAGCCCGCCCGCACGCCTGCATGCGGTACAGTAAGCAAAATAAAGGACCTGAACCCTGTAAAACCACACTACACAAAACTTGCTGTCACTCTCCGCGAGCTTGTGGAGTGAGGTAAGTCGACTTAAACCCAGTTGCAAGGAAATTTTATCGAAAAAGTTGATAACTCGAATTGACTCCCCTGTCAATGCTTACACATAAATAGATATTTGATGCAGTTCGACTCCTTGCGCGGAAGAGAAGAACTAGATAAAGAAGTGAAGGATAGGATCCACGGCGCTTCCATATTTTTTTTTACCACTTAAATCAGTATTTTATTTTTCTTCTACAAACTTGATATTTTGCAGTTACCCCCTTTTCCCGCTTCCTGTTCCAACTCCAGAAGTGCGTGAGGCCTATGAGCCACCTGATATAGTCTGGAGCAGGCGGAGGAATTGGACTCACTAAGCTACGCTATCGCAGTGGTCGTACTGTACCTGAGGTCGATGACAGTGGGGTCGCTGTCAGTCTGCGGCCACGTCACGGAGTCGCCCTCGGACACGTCCCGCTCGCGCCTCTCAGCCAACTAAATAGAGAGGCCCCGGGCCCGACCCTCACCACAGAACACACAGAAGCAGAGATACCACTCCCAGCTTACGGGTTTGAGTCAATTCCGTACTACTAGCGCGCTCTGAAGAGCAGTACGGCCAACTACTGGGCGGGGCGGGGCGCTCAAACCCTCCAGCCGGCCGGCCGGCCGGCCGGCCGGCGGTCAGCCAGGTAGGCGTAGCGGGCGAGAGGGTGCCCGTGGGGCCTCCCCAGCCGCCCGCTGAGCTAATATTTCTTCCGCGGCTCACAGAAATGACCGTTTACAACAAATTTTACTTGGAAAACAATACCAGCACGGGAGTGACTCGATCGAGGTTTTGAAAATTGAAATCTATTGACTGATTCGGATTCTCTTTTTAAAAGAAAACGAAAGTTTTTCATGACCAAAGGCAATCAGAGTTGAAATAACGGATATATTGGTATCAAAACAGTACAAACAATGTCAAAAATGACAATACTTTTATTTTCAGTTTGGAGTCCATGACTCGCCTATTTCACCTCTGATCGTCACAGACCATAAGATATTTTTGGTTTACTTTCCCATGTGTAGTCCAACTGTGGCCCCAGAACTGAAAAGTAAAATTACTTCAAATTAACTGTCAAATCTGTTAAATCATGTTCCTCTATTAGATGTTAGTGGTTCAGTCTTCCAAATGTGTGTCATTTATTTTTAATAATATCACAAACTAAACCCAAACTCAAACCAACATCATTCCATGTCGAACTGCATCTACAATTACCCAATCCATTGAACA